GTGTGGCAGCCTCGTCGCGCCCGATTCGTTAGACAGCGTGGCTGCCCCGGCCCTGTGGGCGCATGGCAGTCCTGGCACCGTCCCTCGGCTTCCGCACATCCACATTGTGTGTTTATGGTTACAGTTTCCAAAAGAAAGACTTCCAGAGCCCTTCTGGAGCAGAATGCAGTTAGAATTTATGAAGGTCTTTGAAAATTCTTTTTATATGAGCAATCAATACAAAAAGTAATTTGCTGAGAGCCACTGACTCACCTCCATCAGGCGCGGCGGCGAGATGAAACGCCGAGCTCCCTGAGCCGCGCGCCCGGCGGCCCTGCCCCTGGCAACCAGAGCTGCCTCCCTCCAACAGTGCCCTGCAGGCTGCCAGCCGCTTTTGAATGCAAATCGTCCCCCAAACGTTTAAAGGCAACTGTGTTCCTGGCAGTCATGGTACTTTTCACAGACTGGCTGTACATTGCTCACTAACGGCATTCACAAACACTTTTTCAGCCATTCAGAATGTTTAGAATGAGTCTCTATAATCTATCTGATTACTTTTCACATTCCCAGGGAATTGTCTCTAGTTCCTTTCTTAGGGTCCCTCCTCAATAACAAAGTTAAACACAGAAACTTCTTATTCTGAAGCTGACAATACAGCATTTACCCGGGTTCCCAGGCCGGTATGTGCATGAAAGGAGCAGGAATCACTGGAACGGACCCAGAACCGAGGGACATGTCCACCTGCCCACTGCCAGTGAGATGCTGGAAGTGGCTTCCCTTGCCCCAGTTCTGGGACTGCATAGTAAACAGGCCGCGTGAAGAAACAGTCCCTGGTTAGGTGTCAGCAGACACCACCCACCCTTCATAAATTATGAACCTAGATGCACCCTTGCCTTTTCCCTTCTTAGAAACCAAGATCCTTTTCTCGAAATTATAGTACAATGAAATGATTTAGTAAATTAAAGAAAGAAATCTTACCTGGTATGTGAAAAGATGTAGGGATGACTTGCTTTAATGCTCCAAATCGAGTCCAGAAAGGATGAGGTTTTGCTGGTCTGGAGGAGGGAGGCCGGATCCCCCGGATCAGAGTGCTCTCGGTGGACGCTGCCTCTGTGGCTCCCAGGCAGTGGCCGGTGCCTTTATATGCTCCTTTTCCTGTGAAACGCTGTCAATCAGACACACGAGGAAGCTCATTTAATTCATTCCTTTGAAGGAATGACATAGTTTCGTCTTCCGATCGCACCATTCGCTGTGAGTACCTGCTGCCTCTGTCCAAATCCGGCCCCTTCTGTGCTGGACGCCCCTCCTCCTGGGCCACTGCAGACCCTGCCAGACAGGGCTGGGGAGGAGCCAGACGGGACAGAGGGGAAGGCAGGACTCACTCACTTTTCCTGTCTTCTCTCAGGAAATAAAATGCTATAAATAAAACTAGCAAGATTGGCTGAAACTCCCATT